AACAGTCATCTGTTGTTTCAAAGAAGCATGAGAGGTAAGTGATGTTGAGATCCACCTGTGAAGTGTCCGCGACAGCTGATGGACAGGGTGGACCTGAGAGATTTCAGAAGCCGCTCTCTTGACTCCTGCACTTCATGGTAACTCAGGGTGGTCAGCATGATGTCATCCCAGGAAGCAAGATGCTCCGTAGAAGTAAAATAGGTTAGAGAACTGCGTACAACCTTGTTGCTGTTGTTTAAGATGAACGTGTTTGTCACTAAAGACTTCAAACCCATTTCAGTTTTACTTCGGGGACTACACTTTTTTGGCGGATTCCTTTTAGCACAAACGACCACATTCATAGAAATTAAATTAATAATGAAGCAAGAAGAGATTAATACTGAGGGTCCCAGAGGCTTTCAGATCAATCTTATGTAGCCTTTTTGCAACGTGACAAATTGGCTCTGACCTTGGGGGTCTCCCTGTGTACACACTGGTTTCTGACACTGGACTCGTCAGTGCTGAGTGACCGCAGATTCTTTATTCTGGCAGTTGGCATGTTGACCGCGACCGTGCCTGGTCGCTTCCCACCTTTTCTCCATGTCTGAGTGTGTTCCACATGAACGTTGTGTACTGTTCATTGCCTTCTCATATCAAAGCCTGCTGTCGTGTGTGTTTATTTCACTTTCACTGTTTATTTTATTCGTTTATTACTATTTTGTTATTACATGGATGGATTGCCACACTGCACTTGGAATTCTATCAACGGTACCATGTGACTTTGCTCCTTAGTGTTACATGGCCTGACCTACTCCAGTTTGAATTTATTAACGTTATATGATTTCATTTGATTTATTTTAATCTTAATAACACAGAGTAAAGTCCAGTCCGAACTGGTAACAAGTAACGTGTGGAATTGGGTCAAGCCTGAAAACCATGTTGCTGTTTGGTTCCCGCTCAAAGTGATCCCATGGACCACAGAACAGAACACGCCCTGCCCTTTGCCATCTCACAATTGCGCCTATGTTTGCGCCCGTCATTGCAGCCACGGGCAGTCCCTCTTGTCCTGTATTTGACCAAGAGGATGTTCTTCTTCAGGGACAGGTCTCTCCTGACAACACATCCAAAGTACGTGAGATGAAGCGTCCCCACTCCGGTCTCTAAGGAGCACTCTGGCTGTACTTCTCCCAAGACAGACTCTTCGGTTTGTGTAGCAGTCCCTGGTATTTTCAGTATGCTTCTCCAGCACCACGATTCAGATGCGTCCATTCTTCTTTGGTCTTCCTCCCTCATTGTCCAAGATCTGCATGCATATGAGGCAATGGCAAATGCCGTGGCTTGGGCCAGGTGCACCTTAGCCCTAAAAGCAACGTCCTTGCTTTTCAATACTCTAAAACAGTGGTTCTCAACCTGTGGGTCATGACCCCTTTGGGGTACGTGTGAAGAAAAACGGGACCTGAAGATTGGAGGAAGACTTATTAACAACTTGCAGTGTGCAGCTGCTTGCTGAAATAGGGGAGGAAGTCAAGCATTTGCTGCTGAAGATCAAAGGCGGCAGCCTTCGGTGCAGATTATAACTCAGCTCAAAGAAACCCAGAATCCTCACAACGGGACCGAGAGACAACATCATGATACTTGGAAAAAGATGGACGTCCTCAAGGATTTCGTCTTGCGTGGATCCACAATCAGTGCTCGTGGAAGCAGCACAAAAGATCAAAAGATACATGGCACTGGGCAAATCTGCTGCACAAGACGTCTTTACAGCAGTGGTTCTCAACCTTCCTCATGCCATGACCCTTTCATGCGTTCCTCATGTTGTGGTGACAGCCAACCATCAAATGATTTTCTTTGCTACTTCTTCACTGTCGTTTTACTACTGTTATGAATCGAGAGACCCCTGTGAAAGGGTTGTTCCACCCCCAAAGGGGTCACCACCCACAGGTTGCGAACCGCTGCTCTAGAAGCTCTGCTGTTACCTGTTCAGTGTCAGAGCAACATGCAGCCTCTAGGGACAGATGGGTGGCAGCTGGGATGAGGGGCTTTGGCCAAGCATCTCACCCGAGTCTCCTTGGTGGAAGGTGAGAGTTCCACCACTGCGCCACCAAGGCTTCTCTCGGCTGCTTCCCAAACGGAGCTCGCTGCCATCAAGTGGATTCCGACTCACAGCGGCCTTAAGAGACAGGGAAAAGCTGCCCCCGTGGGTCTTTGAGGTTGTAACTCTTCATGGAGTAAATGCCTCATCTTTCTCCCATGGAGTGGCTGGTGGCCTCAAACTGCTGAACTTGTGGTTCGCTGCCCCAGTTCCCCCCATCTTGGTCCTGATATAAACTTCGTCCATAACGTCCCTCTACCCTCAGCAAAGAAAAAAAACAACGAAACAGGACTTATGTCCCACGGCTTCTTTCTGCCTCCAGTAAACGTCTAGAAGTTTGCCCACATCCAGTGTCCTGGCTCAGGACATTGTAAATTACTTGAGAAATTCAACTCACACACCCTTAATTTTTAACGAGTAGAGTCCTTCCCCAAAGAGGACTCAAGTGAATTGACTTGTACCCCCAAAATCAGTGACAGAAGCATCGGTGACCAAAATGTGTTGGGGCAGAACACGGCCCACCTTCGGGCACAGTGAAGGCAACCATCAGCCCAGTGGACTTGGGGTGGGCACCCCTGGGTGGTGCTGTGCTGCTGGGAGCTCTGCCACCGGCGTTGTTCAGAGACCAGCAGTATCGGTCCAGGTCCTGGATAGATCTCAGTGGAGCTTCCAGATGAAGGCAGACTAGGAAGAAAGGCCTGGTGAACTTCACTTGTACACAAAGGCCCTGTGGATCTACAGCACTCAAAGCACACGGTGGCCGCAGTGAGAGATTGGAGTGCGCCAACGAGGGAACAGGGCTGGGAGGTGCTCTGTGCCACACACCAGGCTCACCTTGAGCCTCAGCCATCGGCCACAAATGCCAATAAACCAATCCTTTGTACATGTGTCGCCTTCCACCCAGTGCTTTGTGGACTCATTCCACTGCAGTGGTGGCTTCTGTGACCTCCTCACTCTCCCCACGCTGACCCCGAACTAGCCCAATTGAATGTCGTTTTCATCTGTTCCCCGCATTACCAACACACTGACATTGTCCTCCCAAGTCCACATCCTCTTCCATGTGCCTGGTTGCCATCTGGTCCGTGCTGGCCCCAGTGACCCCATGCGCACCAGAGAAGGACTGCTCTCCCTGCAGTTTTCTGGGGGTGGATTTTGGGGGGCATTAGGTCCCCAGGATGTTCTTCCGAGGCTCCTCTGAGTGAAGCGGTGAGCAGCATGTCCATACAAGTGACTCCGTGGGCTGCTTGCTAACCACAAGGTCATCGGTTCAAACCCACGAACCACTCTGCAGGAGAAAACAAGGCTTTCTACTCACATACGTAGTCAACGTCTCAGAAAACCCACGGGGGCGGCTGGTTCTGCCCTGCCCTGTCGGGTCGCTGTGAGCCAGAATCAACGAGACGGCTGTTACAAAGCACAAGCTGTCACTTTCAAGGCTAGGGATCTCGATGCTGCCAGCGCTCGCCTACAGCAGAGGATCAATACGATTGCCCATTTCACAGCCCAGCCTGCTCCGTGATGTCACCTTATTGAAGCACAAGACGCACCCCACCTCCCTCTGAGAACCCAAAGGCTTTCTGTGACTGACTTGCGCTCCTGCTAAAGGCGACTCTCTGACACCCCGGGGAATGTTCTTTGCTGAGCACAGAACCCCGTCCATTCTCTCTGATTCTGCATTTCCAACCACCCTTGACCTTGGAGGTGTACACTAATTTACTCCTGGCAAAAAACAACGTCTTGCTTAAGGAGGATGGGATCAGAGGGGCTTTGAGTAAGGACTCGCGGCACTTCCTGGACATCAAGTACACCATCCAAAGCACAGTGTTTATGGGCTATGTGTAAATGAATCAGAAACATATGGATTCAGTTTCCCCTGAAATGCAAAGGGATTTTAAAGTTAACAGAAAAGGGGCCTAGCCAAATGTGCTTCGACACCACACCCACGATATTCGAAACGCACTTTAGGAAGCTTGATCAACCCAACTGTCTCTCACTTCTCCCCAGGGCGGGTCTCTTACATTCACTTGGTTTCCCAGTTGAGATTTTGCTGTGGCCTCAGGTGACTGCCCCGTAGGGTTCCCTTGGCTCTAAATGTTTACAGGAGCTCTGGTCACGCTGTGGGTTAAGCTTTGGAGTGCTGACTGCACTTCAAACCTGCCAGCCGTTCCTCGGGAGAAAGATGAGAGCCATGCTCTGGTCAAGATTTACACCCTTGGAGGCCCAGCCGAGGGTCGCTGTGAACTTGAGGCGATCAAGCAGTCTTGGGTTTGATCTTTCAGGCGCTGTAAGGGGCAGACGCTCAGGCCTTTCTCCCAGGAACCGTTTGATAGGTTCAAACCACCAAACACCAGGTTGGCGGCCAAGTGCTTAATCGGTGCGCCCACCAGGTCTCCTTTCCGTTGAGGTTTCCTAAAACCCAACCCAACCCAACCCAACCCAACCCAACCCACCGCCTCTGAGTCGATTCTACCTCACAGAGGGCAGCGGACGGTCTCCTTTAAAGGTGTCAATCTTGGATGGGGGACCTTTCTCTTCCGCCAAGGGCCATGTGGGTATTGATCACATCTTTCAAGAGCTGCGCTCACTTCTCAGCTGAAAAAGGAGCTTTTGCTGTCTTTGGTCAAACATAGCATTAACTCCTCCCTAATGGAACGACTTCTCTTTGTGGAGGGAGGCGCGTGACCTCAGCTGATACTGATGATTTGGGAGCCTTCTACGGCCCAAGGGCTGGACCTTCCCCACCCCTGCTATAAATCTATAGCAGATGGCTTCCTCTTTCTCCTGTGCAATGGCTGGTGGATTAGAACCATCAACCTTGCAGTCAGTGTCCCAACACTTCTCCCAGGCAGAGTAGGGCGTCAGCACCTGGCTTTGACGCATGTTTCTATTCAGTGTCCCTCATGGGTTCCTCTTCTGGTTGTTTCCCCAGGTTTGCCCCTTCTGCTTCGTCTCCGCACCACATCAGCCCCCGGAGAATAACAGCCCCCTCCTCGATCCTGCAGAGGACGCAGGCCGCACTCCCCCGGCCGCCGCCCGGGGCTCACCTGAAGTCCTACCAGCCAGAGACGGGCTCTCCTTTCCAGCCAAACAGCGTCCACGTCCACGGTAAGTGGGGCCCTGGCAGATGCCAGGGTGGGTCCCAGAAGGGCTGCCATCTCCTTGTTTCTCAGCATGCGTCCCAGCTACTGCCTGTGGGTTTCAGGGGCTCTGATACACCCCAATCGAGACTTGCGTGGAATTCCTTTATGATTTCACACTCTGAAACCCTAGGACATTTTCTGGCTTGAATCCTAAGAGGGGTCTGACTTCTGAAGCCCCAGAGAGGTCTGGCCAGACAGTGCCCCATAGACAGGCCTTGACAAACGCATCTTGTTTTCTGTCCAGGGGATAGCTTGTCACAGAGCAGGAGTCCTCTTCCTCCATTTTGACATGACACTTTAAAAAAGAAAGAAAGAAAGAAACCAAATTTACTGCCATCCAATCCATTCCAACTCACGGCGACCCTGTAAGAGAGTAGCCCTGCCCCTGTGAGTTTCCCAGACTGTAGGAAGCCTCGTCTTTCTCCCAAGGAGCAGCCGGTGTTTTTGAACTGCTGACTTTGAGGTTAGCAGCCCAACTTATAACCAGAAAAGAACTACTTGAGTCCCATACAAGGAGGCTTCAGAAAGTTCAAAAACTCCATCATCTTTTCCATGAACTCTTTCTGAATCAGTTTGTACACCCTTATCCCTGTCTCTCTGTGTCCAACTCCGCTCCCTTCTTCAAAGCCCAGTGGAAATACCGCTTCCTCTCTGAAGCCGTCTCTGGGTACCCCCTCCCCCTCCCCCCACACACCCAGCTTGAATGTTGACCCCTGGGCTCTAAACACTAATTCCTATCAACATTATCTCTTGGTTAGTGTTTATCTATAAGTACGCATTTATCTGTAAATAAAACTTCCCTTGACTCTTAGTCTGTAAGCTTCTCCCAGAGGTAGGATTTTCTGCTCCTTTCTGAGAACTTGGTGCAATTGTTTGCCTGTGGTAGACTCATTGGTGAGTGCTGGATGGTGGAGGGAGGAGGACCCAGGAGACCCACAATTGTCTCTTCAAACAGTGCACATCTCCTGGAGACTAACCCTGAGTGTGCGTGGGGACCGAAGTCTGGCATGATTGACTTGCTCTTTTACTATTATTTTTCTTTAAGCTCATTATACAGATTTAGGTAAGTCGCTTAGCCAAGATGCCCAGGAAAATGAATGTCCAAGTCCATTAGCCCTGAGCACTGCAGATCCCTGGGGTCCTCCTGGCCATTGGATCATCTCTCTATGCCATCCCTGCACGTTGAGTATTTATGACTTCCTGCTGGTACCCGGACTTGCTTTATCTGAGCTATGACTCAAAATTAGTGGACAGTGTCCCCCAAAACAAATCTGAGTCACATTCAAATCGGTGGGAATGTGCATCAAATACCAAAGATGGCGGAAGCCAAGCATTCTGTGGAAATCGGCTTGAATAAGGACACCAAAGAAAGGGACTTGATGGCTCAAGAGGTGACAATGACATACAGGCAGTAGGAGGAGAAAGACCTTGGGGTGTGCTGCCCCCCCATCTCCTGCTGCTCACGTACTCCGTTCACTCCCACCCTGCAGCCAAGGGTCGCCACCAACTGGTTGCCAAGAAGTCCGTTGATTCATGCTGGCCCCCCTCGTCCCCACGCCACCACCCGCCCTCCAAGTGTGACAGAGGAGACCTTGTCCCCATGAGTTTGTCAAGGGTGCATTTTCTAAAAGGGGACTGGATACCCACCCCCCTTGCTTCCCAGCAACACGTGGGCTCCCACCATCCTTTGAGCTCACGATGATGCTTAGCTTCTTCTGCCTGGTCCATCTCTTCTTAAACTTTCATGTATTTCTTTGACCAACAAACATTTATTGAGTGCCTACAGGGGCAGGGCAAAGATGCGTAAGAAAGACATCGAGGAGGCGCAGCCTTCTGTAGGGGTTCTCGCAGCCCAGCCCCACCTGGACCTAGGTAGGGCAATCCTGGTCCCCTGTGTTGAGAGCAAAGCTGTCATCATCCCCTCCAGGCAGGTGGATCTCTAGGTTGCCAACCACAAGGTCAGCAGTTTGAAACCATCAGCCACTCTATAAGAGAACGATGAGGTTTTCTACTCCCATAAAAAGTACAATGTTAGGAAACCCACAGAGGTTGGGTCCTACATGGTGCCTATGAGTCATAATCAACTTGAAGGCAGAGGGTTTGAATGAGGACGTGAGCCTGTCCCGACTCACGGAAATCCCGTGCTTCTCAGAGCAGAGCTGTGCTCACGAGGGCTGCTTTTTGACAAGTCGATTGCCAGGCTTTTCCTTAAAGGTGCCTCTGGGTAGACTTGAACTACCAACCTTTGAGTTTGCATCTGAGCATTTGGACCAAGCCCCCAAACCAAACCCCATGCCTTGCCACCAAGTCTGTTCCAACTCAAAGCGACCCTAGAACACAGAGTAGAAAGTGGGGTTTCCACGCCCATAAATCAACAGAAGCAGACAGCCTCATCTTTTTCCCACAGAGTGGCTGGTGAGTTAGAACCACCGACCTTTGGGTCAGCAGCCAAGGGCTTTAGCCACTGCCCCCACCCCCACCCCCAGGGCTTCTTTGCACCATGCAAAATCAGTCCTTGATTCTAAGACACATGTTTTAACATCTCCGTTGTGTCTCCCAGTCAGTGGTCTTCTATAACTGACAGCGCCTTTTCTTTCTGGTATCATCTGAAATCATGGAACGTATCTCGCCCTGCAGTGCTGTCATCTCAGTGAAATGTAATATAATACACCTTGATCTCAACTGCGTGTGAGGTGGGAGTGGGAGGGGCGGCGGGGGCAGCGCAGGGGGAGCCCTGATGGTGTAGTGATTACACGTTGGGGTACGATCTGCAGGGTTAAGCCACTCCTCAAGAGAGAGACGAGGCTTCTCTGCTCCTGTAAACAGTTACAGTCTTGGAAACTCACAGGGACAGTCCTGCCCTGCCCCGTAGGGTCACTATGGATTGGCACTGACTGGATGGCAGTGAGTTTTGTCTTTGGTTTGTGAGCAGGGCGGACGGGGGAGAACAGCTAACCTATGTTTAGAGGGAAGAAGAAAATGGGTGGAAGCTCTCTAAAACACGACCAGTGTTTGTATCAGGGGTGAGGATAATGGTTGCATCTTTATCTCTACTTTCTCAAGAAATCAAAAAGGGGGTTGGAATTTGACTCATTTGAATGCAAATGCCAGTCAAGGGAGAACGCTGAGTGAGCAGCAGCTGGGCTGACTTGCCTTCTCTCTTCGAGTTCTTTAAGGAAACGAAGCAGACCCTCCAGGACAAGCTGTCCCCCGTGTACGTGGTGTTGCGTGGGTGGGTGACGCAGTGCTGGAGGGAAGAGAAGGGAGAGCATCTTCTGGTTAGTTGCCAGTCACCACTGACTTAGGGTGATCATTTCTTTTTTTGGTACTTGGAGACTTGCACCCTTTATTATGAAATCGGGCACTTTTCTTCTGTTTTTTAAAAAAAATCATGTTAGTGGGGGCTCTTACAGCTCTTATCACAATCCGTACATGCAGATGTTATGGCAAGCACATTTGTATATATGTTGCCATCATCATTTTCAAAATGTTTTCTTTTCTACTTGAGCCCTTGGTATCAGATCCTCATTTTTTTCCTCCCTCCCTCATGAGCCCTTGATAATTCATATCTATTTTTTCATGCGGTGATCATCTCTTAATGGGTTGAGTTTGTTCAGTGTGCCTTTCGGCCTATGTGGGACTTGTTTGTTCGGGTGCGGAATATCCTGGTGTGGAGAGAGGACTAGGTACGCTGTAGGGAACACCGTGACACATGGAGAAACGATGGAAGCCGCCAAGGATTTCACCTTGTTTGGACCTACCAGCTATGCTCATGGAAGCACGGTTGAGTGATCACATGACATGTTGCACTAGAGAAATCGGTTACCCTGGACCTCTTCAGGATATTGAAAGACAAAGATGCTATTTTGAGGGTTCGTGCACTCCCGCCCGTACCATAGAATTCCCAATTGCCTCGTATACTTATGAAAGTTTACATCGAATAAGGAAGATTGAAGAAGAATCAAAGCATTTCACTAGGGTGCTGCCAAAGAGTATCGAACGTCCGATGGACTGACAAAGAACAAACAAATCTGTCTTAGAAGAAGTCCAACCGGGGTACCTTGGGGAAGCCAGGCTGGTGAGACTTCATCTCACGTACTTTGAAGTCCGTGAGAGCCCCGTCCCTGGAGAAGGACACCGTGCTTGGTAAAGTGGAAAGGCACCCCCAAAAGGGAGGTCCTGGGTGAGGTGGATGGACACAATGGGTGCAACAGTGGGCTCAAGCACAGAAGCCATGACGAGGAGGGCACTGGGCCAGGGGGCTTCTCACTCTGTTGGGCATAAGGTCCCTGGAGGCGAGAACCTACTCGCTGGCACTAATAATAACAACCACCACATAGATGGTACTGCATCCTGGGGATCCGCAAGATGGTCAAACCCTGAGGAGTTGGGGTTTCATGGCTGAAGAAAACAATGAACTGCTATGAATTGAATGTTGCTACTCACGCCAGGCTCCTTGGTACCCAGCTAAGACCTCGCGTGCTCTCTGTATTGTTATGGAAAGGCGTTTTGTGAGAGGGGTACATTGAAAAGATGGAAGAGTGTTACTCTTTCATGTTTCCTCACCTGGATGGCTGGATCCAGCATCGTGGAAACAGGCACTTCAACCCCTCTTAAAGCTTGATTACTAAAACCCCATGCAGTGCCAGGGCTGCTGCTGCCGTTGCTAGAGGGAGGGAATGGTCGCAGCTTTCACCAGCATCTTCCCTCTTGTCCTCTGTTCTCCCTGCAACAGCAAGAGGTCAGGAAGAAATGCCATGGCTATATTTTTAGAGATGTGAATGGAAACATTTAAGAACATGAAGTGTTGGGGTGTCGCTGCCTTGGCAAAATACACAGGCACCTTGAACAAAAGGTCCTTCCTGCCACAACATGACTAATTAACCTGTTTGCTAGGTCAGAGGCACACGGAGAAAAGCAGGTGTCCACATATTTCAGAAGCATCAGTGCATTTGAATTATGGGG